TTTTTTTGACGGAACCAGGTATTCTACTGAGCTATCTCCCCCCCACCTTTTTTTGTTACTGAAACAGAATCTCACTATGTAGCCCAGGCTAGCCTCAAGCTCATGGCAATCTTCCTGTCCCAGCCTTCCGTGTTCTGTGATTACAGATATATGCCCATGTGTCAGGCTAGTGGCTGGAAATGTAATTTAGCGTGAATGTCTTCCATTCAATGCTAATATCACAATTTTTAAAGCTATTTGCTGGAGGGCTAGGGAGATAGCTCAGCCGCCTAAGCACCTGCCTGGCAAGCTCAAGGCCCCAAGTTTGATTCCTGGTACTGGCGGTACACGCCTGTAATCCCAAAACCGGGGAGGCTGACACAGGAAGATCACTAAGAATCTGAGCTGCAAGACCCTGCACCACATAAAAAAATATTTTTTTGATCCTTCGGTTCATAAACATGATGATTGGGTGTTCATGCCTTATGCATGAGATGTGCCTCCCTCAAACCTTGTTAGGACATGGGCACATTACCACCCATCTGATGTGAAAATAAATAAAAATTAAGTTATTTGCATCTAATCAAGTTTTCTGACTGAGGTGTTAATTGCATGCAACCACCCTGAAAGGTCTATCTAGGATAATATTAGATATCTGGACTTCCTTGTGGCCCATTCAAGGTGAGACAAAGACAAGCCCTCCTGCGAGGCCCACAAGATTGGATTGTAGCAGGCCTCTGTACAGAGGCTAGGAGTACTTCTGTCAGCAGTCAAGAGCGTGGAGGCAGGAGGCACCTTAAGAGGTGACCTGCATAGGGAGCTGGGAGTCTGCAGGGTGTGTAAGGGGGAGCAACATGAGGCAGGGAGTGAGCCAGGAGAGCTGAGAGGAGGCTAACGCAGAACCAAGAGAGCGGAGGCAGGTGGAGGACACTTTAGGAACAAAGGTCCAGTCTGTTGAATCTAAGGAAAGTTTAAGATAGAAAAAAAAAAAAAAAATGGAGGAAGTACGGTGGAGCACAGGGGGCTTGGCCACAGTGGCCACCAAAGTCCACTTCCTCCCTTCTGTGGTGTTACCCAGGCCCAAGCCTGGGCGGGGTGGAGGTGGTGGAGGGCCCTGATGCTGGGTTAGAATCTTGCAGCCCAGCGGGAAAGCTGCACCAGGAGGACAGCACTCTGCAGCTCCTCCTGAGGCCAAGTCCCTGCAGTGTGGGCAGCAGTGGACACTGGCTGGGTGGTGGGTTTCCAGCATCCTGGCCATGGGCACCCAGAATTACTCCCTTCCATGATACCAACATGCCCCTGGAAACGACTGTTCCAGAGGCCACACGCTTGACATCTCAAGGGTCCTGGAGGAAGATGGGGTCTCAGGTCCAGGCAGGCTTTGTGAAGGCAATGGATTTCAGCAGGCGGAGTCTGCAGTGCTTCCTACTAACTAAGGAAAAGGCCAAAAGCTGGGGAGATAGCTTAGCAGTGTAAGCACCTGCCTGGCAAGCGCAAGGACCCAGGTTCGATCCCCAGAACTGCATGCCATGCCAGCCACAGGCCACCAAAAAACAGGCATGGTGATGCACACCTGTAATCCCAGCACTGGGGAAGCTGAGACAGGAGGGTCACTATGAGTCTGAGCTGTGTAGCGAGACCCTGTACCAAATAAAAAGAGAAAAAAAGAAAGAAAAAAAGAAAGAAAGAAAGAAAGAAAGAAAGAAAGAAAGAAAGAAAGAAAGAAAGAAAGAAAGAAAGAGCCAGATGTGAGGGTGGGGATGGAACCACATGGATTCCTCAGTGAGGCAGGCTGAGGCGGATGGATGCCAGGTGTTACCAAGGTGAGTCAGGTGGGACTCGTACTTTACGTCCACTTGGAGCAGGGTGAATTGGGCGAGGACTCTGGGGCAAGGTACTCCAGTACTGCCATGTAGAGGAGCCATGAAAGGGCTCCTGATCAAGGATCAGCTGGACGAGGAGTTCCTATCAAAATAAAGCAGAGAAAAAATAAATTTAAGACATTAAAGTGAGGCAGGACTTGGAGTCTCTCTGCTCTTGGCCCAGTGCCTGGGAGAGCCTGGTGGATGAATTGGCCTCTGCTTAGTCCAGCTTTTGCCTCAGTTTCCTGATACTTTTGTGTATTTTATTTTATTTTGAAGAGTAAAAACAAATAACAGAAACAAAGACAGAAGTAGAACAACATATAGCAGTACATATGTTACAGATTTTCAAAATGAGAATAGCTAATTAACAATGGTTGTTATGTTATCTATTTTCATCATCAGATCTGTTGCTCAGATTAACAGAAATAGTTATGCAAGATTGAACAAATAATTGATTATTAGTGCTTGCTTTCAGGAAACCTCAATTTATTTCTATGTTCTTGTCTTCTTTACCTTTTTAAAAAGTTTATTTATAGAATATAATAACAATAAGACATTAGTAATGGTACATATTTAGAAGACCAAGATGAGGGATATTCAACCATGGTTTTTTTATTACACGTTGCTGTCCTCGATGTAGTTGTTTTTGTGCCGTTTTGAGACAGGGTCTTGCTTTGCAATTCAGGCTGGCCTTGAGTTCACTTTGCAGTGGAAGATGGTCTCAAACTTACAACCACCCTCCTGCCTCAGTCTCCCTAGTTCTGGGATTACAGATGTGCACCATCACGCCAGGTTCCAATTTCCTGATTAGAACTGCCCCCGACTTCCATCTGCTGGGATGGGGTGGGCTCTTTCTTTGTTCTTTCCTGTGCCAGGGTGATCCCTAGGCAGATCAGGCTTCAGAGCAGCAGGAAGGGAAGGGAGACAAGCACCAGAGAGAGCCTGGAATGATACAAAAGGTAGGATGGCCCTGTTGGAGTGTTAACAATATCCAAGTCCCACATGCCCTGAGCCTCCCAGCAGCACCAGGTTAGGGCCTGCTGATTCTAGGAGGAGGCAGTTGGGTCCTAGGATCAGCGCAGGGAAGACATAGCGTGAGCAGAAGGGGCAAGGAAATAGTGGGGGATCAGGAGACCCTGGAAGGTACATGCAGGCGGGTAGCGGCCCACTGCAACACAAGACAGCGCTGGGGGAATGAAGAAGGCCTGAGCATCTCTTTTCTTTCTTTTTTTTTCTTTTTCTTTTTTTTTTTTGGCGGAACCAGAAACTGAACTCAGGTCCTTGAACTTGCCAGGGAAGTGCTTATTCTACTGAGCCATCTCCCCGGCTCCCCAATTTTTTCCCCCTGTACCAGGGATTGAACTCAGGACCTTGCACTTGCCAGACATGCACTTATTCTACTGAGCTATCTCCCTGGCCCCTTTCTTTTCTTTTTTGAGGGACTAAAGTCAATGGCATTTCCACACTGAGCTATAGCATCCCCAGCTCTTTTTCTTTTTTGGTAGGGAGGATCAAACTCAGGATCATGCACTTACCAGGCAGGTGCTTATACTGCTGAGCTATCTCCCTAGCCCCTCCCCCAGATCTTTATTATTTACTTATTTTTTTGAGACAGTCGTAGTCTCACTGGCCTTGAACTCACTGTGTAGCCCACACTGGCCTCAAACTCAGAGTGATCCTCCTGGCTCGGGCTCCCACATGCTGAGATTATAGCTGGACATTATATTCATCTTTATTTTGACACAGGGTCATGCTAAATCACCCAGGGAGGACATGAATTTTTAACCTTCCTCTCTCAGCCTTCCTAGTACCTGAATTATAGGTGTGTACCACTAGGCCTGCCTAAGTATCAGCTCTTAAGGCTAATCATGCAGATGGTTGCATGGATTGGACAGGAATGCCTTGAAACCTGTCTTCTTGCAGTATCTCTTTTTTTTGTTACTATTTTTTAATGCTAAGGGTTGAACCCAGGGCCTTCCCACAGAGGTACAGTCACAACTCTTTTTATTTTGAGACAGGGGCTTACTAAGCCACAAAATTGCTCAGGCCAACTTGAATTTGTAGCCCCTCTGAGCAGGGAGAGAATGACTGCAAGGACATAGCTCAGTGGCACAGCACCTGTCTGGCAAGAATGAGGTCATATAGCTCAGTGGATTAAAGCTCCTGCAAGCAGGCACAGGGGCTGGGTATTCAATCCCTGGGCCTGCTGTGCTGGCCCTGCCCCCAGGGTATGACAGCAATTGGGACTGGGTGTGGTGGCACATGCCTATAATCCCAGCTCTTGGGAGACTGTAAACAGGAGGATCACTACAAGTCCGATCTAGCCAGGGAGATGACTCAGTAGAATAAGCGCTTGCCTGGCAAACGCAAGGGTCTGAGTTCAAATCCCTGGTTCTGCAAAAAAAAAAAAAAAAAAAGCATAACTACAAGTCCAATCTAGTAGTGAGACCCTGAACACCCTGTAGACCCTTCCCTAAAAAATAAAAAAAAAAAAGAATGAGGTCATGAGTTCAATTCCTAGTACCAAAAATTGAAAAAATAATGACTTTGGGACACCACAGATACAGAACATAGGACTGCACTTGGTCCCAGACTAAATCTACCATTTTTATTTTTTATTTTTATTTTTATTTTTTTTTTTTAATTTTTGAGACAGGGTTTCCTATGAAGTTCAGACTGGACTTGAGCTCAATTTGTAGCCCAGGCTGGTCAATGATCCTCCTGCCTCAGCTTCCAGGAGTGCTGGGATTACTAGAGGGTGCCACCAAACCTGGTGCTATTTTCTTTTTTCTAATTTTTCCTTTCTTTTTTTCTTTTTCTTTTTCTTTTAGGACAGGGTCTACAGGGTCTCTACATAGACCAGACTTGTAGACCGGACTCATAGTGATCCTCCTATTTTCAGCCTCCCAAGTGCTGGAATTACAGGTGAGCGCCACCACAACCAGTCTCAATTACCATCTCAGCACGCCCCATGGGTGGGACTGGCACCACATGCTGGGGATCAAACCCTGGCCACTGGACTCTGCCTAAGCAGGCGCTTTAGTCCACTGAGCTGTCAGGCCAGCCCAATCTTTGCTATTTTTGTACATTAAAAACAGGGCTTAGCTGAAAGTGGTGGCATACTCCTTGAACTTTTGATCCTCTTGCCTGAGTCTCTCAAGTGCTGGGATTACATTATGGTAGCAATATGCAGAGATTCCCAGGTACTTTTTTTTTTTTTTTTGGTCTTTTTGAGACAGGGTTTCAAGAGTTGAGGCTGGCCTTGAGCTCACTTTGTAGCCCAGGCGGGTCTTGAACTCACATCAATCCTCTTGTCTCAGCACCCCCACCCCACCCCCGCCAAATACTGAAAGATGGAAGGCAGCCTGGAAAACATGGTCAGACTCCATTTCATTATAAAAGAAAAAAGCTGAGATCTTTGGAAGTCATAATGAG